AGTGAGTGTGATGCACAGCAAGGCTGAGAACCATTGCTATAGAAGAATGTTCCAGGAAAAAAGGGGTAGTGGACAGCATAACGCCTAAGCATGGGCATTTTTGGTGATTCCTCAAATATCAATTGATTTTGATTATCTGGAAAATGAAGGTTTACACCCAGTCTCAGAGTGTTAGCCGATAGATCTATAAATCTTACTCCACCAGCAGGACCCTCCTTTCTACCCGCATCTCCTCGGATTCCAGAGATGGAGAAAAGTGTGATTAGCAGTTATAGCTCCTTGGCTGTCCTGCTCAAGGATATGTCTCTTAGCCCCTTCCAGCTGCTTCTGACGCGTTAATGCCATGGCTTCCTAGAAATGAAAACTTAATAGAAGCTGTCAAATAACCTGTTCCAATGCGGTTTAATCGACCTTACCATTTATCAAAGAATGCCAGCATGATAGAAACCAAAGCCTACTTTCCCCAGGGAGACATTTTAAGTGTTTTCAACTACTTTGATCTCATCATCATCACGTACAGTAACTTTTAGAAATGCAGAATTGTGGTAGTAATGTTGGGATTCATTTTTTTTTGGTGAAGGCTTTGAAGCACAAACAAAATTTTAAAAGTTCATTAGTAATTGAAAATGATAATCTTGCTGAGGACACGTTTTATGGCCATAATAGCTATAAAACGCAGTGAAAAATATTAAATACACTGGAATTTGGAGAAATATTTTTCTCTCATTTTTATTAAACTATAGAAATTCTTTGTACAGTTGATTGAATAAAAAGGGTTACCATTAAGGTTAAAACACAAACAAAAGTACTATTATTTCTTTATTTTATTTTTTGAGATGGAGAATCGCTCTGGCTCTACCCGGGCTGGAGTGCTGTGGTGTAATCTCAGCTCACTGAAACCTCCACCTCCCAGGTTCAAGTGATTCTCCTCCCTCAGCTTTCTGAGTAGCTAGGACTACAGGCACGCACCACTATACCCAGCTAATTTCTGTATTTTTAGTAGAGACAGGGCCTCACCATGTTGGCCAGGATGGTCTCGATTTCTTGACCTCATGATCCACCTGCCTTGGCCCCCCAAAGTGCTGAGATTACAGGTGTGAGCCACTGTGCTGGACTGTTATTTCTTGAAAATTGTGATAAAGCTGTTAATAGTTTTTGGAGGTTTAACAGTAAAAGACAAAGATGCAAAAATAATTTCATTGCCTGGAAAGGTTTAATTTATTTAGCCTTATTTGTGGGAGTACTGTAGTTTGTTTCACTCATTTATTTGTTCACTTACATAATACATACCTAATGTGCCAAGTGCTGTATAATGATACAGAGAGCTTGGCATCATCTCTGTCCTGTGCGTTTTATTAACAACATCCTTAATCTTGGGTTGGCTGCTTTGAAATGGTGACTCAGATAGCTGCTGGAATTGAAAATGAACTTTTTTCTTTCATATTGGGAGAGAAAACATGCCTACCCAGGTAAAGTGCCTGAAGTATTTAAGGTTTTTAGTAGCCTTATATTACGTCTTCATCTTAAGGCAGAAGATCTAGAAGGATTCTTAATTTTTAAAAAAATCTTGGATCACTTGATGTATTTGGTAGTCTCCAGTGTCAACTGGTGGATGTTTAGTGATACTGTGTCAGGTAGACACAGGACAGGGACATGAGTGAGTCTTAAGAGTGGTGGGTATATGTTTTCCCACAAATGCATGGGAAAATCCCAGAGGTTATTACCTAACAAGTAGATTCAGGAGGAGCAGATCAGAGATGCTTGCTGGTGGGCAGGTCCATTGTTGTTCTTAAGAGGCAGTGAAGCATGGTGGCTAAGAGCCTTCGGCCCTGGAACGAGACTGGGTTTGAGTCCTGGGTCTGTAATCACCTCTGGTAAATTATGTAGCCTTTCTGTGCTGTGATTTATTCATTTGTAAGACAGGCAGAGGGATGATCACAAGCTTCTCAGAATGTCTTGGTAGGATCTAATGAATTAGTTCATGTAAAGTGCTCAGCACACTGCCTGGCATATAAAAAGGTTCAGTAAGTGGAGAAGGTAATATTGGGGTTGCCGAGATGATGGTGATCCCTCCTTCATCATCGTGAATCCCCTTATCCATTCCATGTCCCACAGTCACAGAAGGTCAATCTTTGGCAGATGGGGTCAACAAGAGATAGTAGGTCAGACATATTTAATGGTCACTGTAATTTGAACTGAGGGAGAATGAATGTCTTCTTAATTGTAAGTATGACAACTTTTTATCCTACGTAGAGTGTGGTCCACTAATGACTGTCACCAGTAACTATGGATTGAGGACTATGTTCAATAGTCTCTTGAGAGTCCGTCAGCATTGGCTCATGTTCTGTTAGCTCTCCCACAGGGAGGAAGTCAGACTTCCCTCCCTGCATCTTTCCATTGTGTTTGTAGCAGTCCAGGGAATGGAAGTCACACATGATGCAGGTTCATTCAGCGGGCCTTTCTCACTCTGGCATTTTCTGTCCTATAACCCCTCTATCACAGTTCTCTCTTGATACCTCCACAGAGGGGCAATGGGCAATGCAGGTTTAAGAGAATGCACCTAATTGAATTCACTGGTTCTCAAATCAGGGCAGTTTTGTCCCTCCACAGGATATTTGGCAATGTGTGGAGACATTTTTGATTGTCACACCTGGAGAATGGCTGCAGTCATTCAGGGAGTAGAGACCAGGGATGCTGCTAAACATCCTACAGTGCAAGGACAGTTATCACAACAAAGAATTAGGAGGTTGAGAAATCCTGAGTTAAGTTACGCTAGAGGGACCAAGGCTTCTGTGCTTGGCCAACTGCAATTACCGGTGATGGTTAAATGCTATTCTAGATTCTATTCACATCCTAGTTGGCTGATGACACAGGCTCTAGGCAAAGAGGCTATAAACGGGGGAGATTGATCTTTTATATCTGAGGAATATTTCTTTATACCGAACATTGCCACTTCTCGCTGGCACGACTGCCCCCTTCTGCGTGGCTGGCCTCTGGCACTTTTCAGAACTCTGGAGAGCCAGTTGATGAATTAGACTCAGTTACAGAACAGGTGACTGACTCCCGCTGTCTATGCCAACTGATGATGTGCCTGTGACAGACTGAGTCATGCTGACCGTGGGACTGCAGACCCCAGAGGAGAGTGCTCTCATGACCCCTTGGATAAAGCAATAAAGCTTTGCATCACCTGAGGAGAGATTTCTTTGGGAAGGATGAGAACATTTTCCAGTGAAAGGTTTTATTTTACTTATATATTTAAAAGGTTTTATTTTACTTATATATTTATTTACTTATATATTTTATTTTACTTATATATGCAGTTCTTATTATGTGCCAGCTGGTTTTCAAAACATTTTCTAAATATTAACTCATTAAGTCCTCTTGACAACCCCAAAGCTGAAGCATTGTTCATGTCACTCTTTTACAGATAAGGAAACGGGTGCAGAGCTATTACTCAAACCTAGAGATTCTGGCTCCAAAGTCAGGCTTTTAACCACTGTGTTAGAGATGAAAAACTCTGAACTTCACCCTTGGTTTCTTTTTTCTACCCAGATCCTTAACTTCTGATTGGTACCATTGAGGCATTGGAGAATTAGGCTGTCCTGAGGCAAGCCCTCATTCTGATCTATTAGCTCATTATTTCATATCTGTGAACCTCAGTTTTCTTATCTGTAAAATGGAGTCACACCTACCTCAGGGCGTGGATGTGAAGATAAAACAGGTGTCCGATTTGCATTGCTATGAAGAAATACCTGAGCCTGGGTTATTTATAAAGAGAAAAGTTCTTTGGCTCAAATTCTGCAGCTGTACTAGAAGCACAGCACCAGCATCTGCTTCTGGGTCACCTGGCAAAGTGGGACAGGCTGGTGCAGCTTGGCCGAAGTTCTCTGGCTGTGGTCTGGGCTGCTGACTGGACCGTGTGTGTTTATTTCATGGACAGATTACAGCATCTGCTCAGGGACAAGTTTGCTCTGTTTTTAGGAGAATGGAAGGTGGCAGCTTTCCATCTGTCTTAACTCAGGGCTTTTCTCAGTCCTGCTACCCACACTGTGCCCCTTTCCCCTGGCCCACTCCCAATTCAGAAATGGGTCTGGATTCTATTTCCATGGATGGTTATGCAGTCGCCCACCTGCTTTTCTGACATGTACAAGTCAGTATATCTTTCTATGATTATGAAATTTTAGAGGAGAGAGTCTAAGTCTTTTTTTTCTTTGAATGTCTTGTCTACAAACAGTAAATGCATCCATAGGGGTGAAGGAGTTCCTGTTATTTATCCAGAGGGAAATGCACCACTCCTTAATGTGTAGTCAGATGTGTGAGAAAGGGAACCAACTCTTAAATGTAAGAACCGTGAGAGAACATCCCAGCATCTAGAATAATATCTGTCACATAGGAGTAGTTTAATAAATATTTGTGAGCAAATGAATGACTCGTAATATTTATTTTAAATATTTCCTAAATCTGATTATCGTTAACTCTGGGTTACCGAGCAGACCTGGAAACCTGGAGCTGTAGCTTTTATGAAGTGTTAATGTATGTAACTAACAGAAATAAACGCTTTTTTAAAAACCTGGGACATGCTACAGTATCCAACAAGAAAAATAATGTACTTGATCCAGAGGCCACTCTGGGATCTTGCTATACCCTTGGGGTGTCATGCTTTGTATGAGAGACTATGGTGCTGTAAGGAGGAGGAATTTAATGTAGTGCTATAGTAGGATGCTAACTAACAAGGTGTTTTCCCTATTGGCCAAGTAGCTGGAAATAGTTACAGCATGTCACTTATTGCCTGACTTGTATTCTGCAACAAACTGATACATTTAGTAGGATCTGGGCCAATTGAGGATGGCCGTTGTCATCTCCCAGATGTGGTTTGACCTATCTTTTGTACTACTTCAGAAACATTTGAGAAGTTTTGTTCTCCATGATAAAGAAAGAGCAAGCCAGACAGATAAGCAGAGGCCATAGAATTTTAAAGTTGTCTGTACTTTCTTTTACAGATCTGAAGAAAACTCTTGCTGTGTTATTAGATAACATTTTGCAGCGCATCGGCAAGTTGGAGTCAAAGGTGGATAATCTTGTTGTCAATGGCACCGGAACAAACTCAACCAACTCCACCACAGCTGTTCCCAGCTTGGTTGCACTTGAGAAAATTAACGTGGCAGGTAAAAATAGCAATTCTCTGCTGTCATATGGAGTCACACCCTGCTTTGGACCATGAAGAGAATAAAGGAGTGCAGTGGTTCTTACTGGAACCCACATAATATAAATTCTATAAACTTGGCACGGCCGTGGTAAAGATAAGTTTCAATTTAGTATTTAATAGCAGACGTTAAAATGCTCTTTATAGTTTTATGATGTGTAATATTTGGTGGTTTCTGTGACACGTTTGCTCTTAATGAACTCCTGGAAGTCACTTCTAATGAGAAGATGCATAGCCTAGATTAAATGAAATACAGAGGTTATCTGAGAAGCTCATGCCTTTTAGAGTTCCTTCCTCCTCTGTACTCCCATCAGACAATTCTGAAAGTCTGTTACATATAATAGTTTCTCTCCTCCCTGTTGTTAAAGAGCCACCACTGGAGAAAATGCCTCCTACGTGTATATGGAGAAATAGAAATTCTGGAAATGGCCTTTAGGTGATAAATGGCTCCTGTGTAATCCTGGGCAGATTCTGTAGCCACCCATGTATACCACATGTCATTCCCACTGGGATGCATTTTGTTTGGCCCCTTCTGGAAACTGGAATATTGAATGAGACCAGGAAAACTGATGAAACACAACACAACACCCAAATTATACGTAGCGTGTTGTTGCCTTCCTCTCACGTTAGAACCCACCCACCCTCGCCCCACCGCCAGCTCCCCCACTATCACACTGCTCTGAGGTCAGCCCCTGGGTCTATGTGCTTGAGCCAGGACTGCTCTTGTTAGGATGACTGCTCTATTTCCTGGGGACCCAGGACAAAGTGAAGACCCTGAAGGTCAGGATTCAGTGCTTTGGGTGAATGGTTGTAGACAAGCTTTCTCTGCTTTTGGTGGGTGGTAGCCAATCTCTGGTTAATGCATAAAGTAAGTAGTTAGGTTACTTTTGACATCAGTTTCTGCTTTAAAATAAATCTTGTTTCATACACTTGTAAACTTATTTCTTTGTCTTTACCTGTTGCTTCTAAAAGTTCACACACTTAAGTAGGAGGTTTCTTTTCCTTTGCTACTTCCAATGTCAAAACATTTAATTGTTTTACATTATGCAAGCTGGTTGTTATTACCTTTTTTAACGTTCTTTGTCCTGTAGCAAATTTCAGATTGCCAAATATTTTTAATAATTCAAAGTATCTAACCAAACAAAGGTATTAAAAATAACTTTTAATTACAACACAGAAGCAGTGTCATCTAGGCCATAAATCCTATCTTCCTTGCAGTTTTCAACAGCTTCTGTAATTAGACAAGAGAACCTCCCACTGTGTTTAGCTGCTTATTAATAAATGGAACCATGCCTCTTCAGTCTCTACTTGCCACCCCTGTACCCAGTAGAAAATGCTGCTGGAAAGGCCCTAACTGGTTTCGTCACTGTTCTGTGTCTTACTTCTGGAGGTGGGATGGAGTGTTCTGCCTTTAACTTTGCTGCTCCCCACTGCCTCTGAGGTCCTGTGGCTTGTGGGCCCCTATAAACACATCTGCTGTCATTCTTTCCCCTAACATGGGATCTTGCTACCTCTTGCTGTCCTGTTTGCTGCAAGGCTCACAGGGACTTTGCTACCTGGACTTTAAGCTGCAGAGTACAGGTAGTGGGTACACCTCGAAGAAGGAAGTGGCAAGGACTTAGGGACTAATTCTTTCAAACAAAATAGGGAAATATACCAGCCATATGTGTTGAGCTAGTTTACAGCTTAACAGATGTCTCTTGAGCATGTTCTCTAAGCCTGTGGTTCTGAGTGGGACTCCTTTACATGTGCCACTGGTGCTCTGTAGGGTCCAGCCCTACAGGGTTCTGTGAGCCCCTCTCTGCTGGTATGGAGATGAGAAATTGTAGAAATAAAAGACACAAGACACAGAGATAGGCAAAAGAGAGTTTGGGCCCGGGGGTCCACTGCCAGCCAAAGCGCAGAGTCCGGCAGTGGTCCCGAGTGCCTGAACGCTCTGACTTTTATTGAGTACAAAGCTGGGGTCAGGGCAGGTAGGACGTGGGGCAAAGCTGGGGTCAGGGCAGGTAGGGCGTGGCCTTGGTGGTCGCTGAGAGGGTCAAGTACATCACGTGTCATATAGGTAAGGACTTAAGACCTTCAGGTAGCCGAGATGAGGTAAGGAGCATAATGTGTCAGCACTTTTTCCACACTTGTGAGGAAATAACAAAGACATTAAGATTCCTATTACTTTTACTGATTATCTCTTCTAAGAAAAAACGAACCAGGTGCAGAAGCGGATCATGAGAGTGGACATGGAATGTGACCACTGAAGCATAGCATCACATAGAGACATTTAACCCCTGGATGTCTGTGGGGTTACCTGACAGCTGTCAGGCCTACCACAAGAGCCCGGAGGAGCGGAGTTTTCTCCTAATTCCCCAGAGGAAGGAGACCTCTGGGCCATCTTGGATGCCTCCTTCCCAAGACGGCTAAACAGGAGGCGCTTTCCCAACGCTGGCGCTGCCGGACAGCTGAGGTGCCCTCCAGCAGCCCTTCCACAGGCATGACAGAGGGCTTAAAGCGTCTTGCTTTGGGTCAGATTAAAACAGTGTCACCCCAGGTTCACACTTCCGACCTGAGAGGCATTAGTGAAAGAATTCGGATCACCTTTGAATAACTAAGATCACGTATAAATAAGATCACATATGAATAACTAATTACTATGATTATATTTCTAGTTACTTTCTTCTTCATTATTTATATGGAAATAGGCTGAGGCTTCTTGCTCCTGCCTTGGCACTTATGGGATCTTCTCCCTACAGTGCTCTGTTTTTAATATTTAAAGAACCAGAGTGTTGTGTTTTTATTTTTATTTTTTCCTTTTTGGGCAATGGGAGCAAATCTAGAGTTACACATTTAATGATGAACCTCATTCGCGTGACTTTGCGTCTTTCAGGTATGTGCGGGACACAGTCCGTACCATCATGATTTTTACTGAACAATTAGGAAAAGAATACACATGCATAAAATGACACAGACCATGGTTGCTGTAAAGAAAGGGTGACTCAGAAAAAAGTTTGGACTCAGGGAAGGAGAGGAAACTGACATTTAGCAGCATTCCAGTAAATACAAGTTCCTCTTTCTGAGCCTCCAAGGTACATGATTTTACTTAGTCTTCTTAGCATCTCTGAGATGTGTTGTCACAGTTTTTATTAAGTTTAGGTACTTGGGAGAGGGTGAACATTAGTGCTGGAGTCCCTTGAGCTCAACTTAAGATCTGCTAGTGCTATGTAGAGAAAAGATTCTGAGTGTTAGCTCCATCTTTCCTTCCATTTGCAAATTATAAAGGCATGTGTCTGCAAAAAGGTGCTACCATTTTCTTAAAGGTACCTAGAAGAGACCTGCCAGTTTCCTAGATTTAATTATCTGTCTCATCAGGAATTGCTCTGTCTTAGGGTCTCCTCTTAGGCTGACATTTGTAAAAGCTGGTCCGTGTGTGTGTGTGCGCGTGTGTGCGCGCACACACGCACACACACATGCACATGCGGAGGCATCCCTTTCATAGACATTGTCTTGGCCAGAGTTGATACAGAGATGCTGGGCATCCCTCTTCATTTCCTCCAGAAGGTGGAGGGTCCTTCATATCTTGTCACTCAACCACATAGTTATTAAAAATGATTTGCCATGTCTGTAACGTAGGGTACCAGAAAGAAAGACAAGGACTTAAATGAACAGTTCTCATTTATGAGCAGACTTTCCTTGCTTTTCTGCCCTCTCTCTGATTCATGGCCAATGCTGTTGTCTTCAGACCCCTCTGTCAACTCAGGAATGGCTCCTGAGCTGTGAGAGTTCAGTTTTATGGGACTCCAGTCCTCGCTGAGTGAAGTTTTTCTCTCTCCCTTCTTGAATGGAGACATGTGGTAATTGCTTAGAAATGTTCTCCCTGGTGTGTCTTTACTACTGACTCTGGTGTCTTATTGCTCACTGATGTTTCTGATTGCCTATTGTTTTATCTTATTGCTTGCTGATATATCTTCTGGTTGGTTACAAACTGTCTCTAAATTGGGTACCATAGCAATTGAAGAAGGATTCCCTAAATTTATTTTCTTTAAAGGGATAGCTCTGTGTGTGTGTGTGTGTGTGTGTGTGTGTCCCCTTATTTTCTCTTTCTAGCTGTGTTCTTTGTGGCTTTTATCCAGTATGGCTTATCTTTGCAAATTTATCACCAAGGGTTTTTTTTAATGTGAAAGTAAATGTGCTCCTAGAGAAATTTAGGTGGAAATGAACTTTATTAAAATCAAGAAATCAGACTGAACTGGATTTTTGAGCTGCTTGTCTTATTGAAGATAAAGGGTACTCAGTGGAATGAAAAAGCAGATATTTAAAATCCCCATCCTTCCACCAATCACACAGTAAATTAATTTCTCTATATTTACTTTCTGAAAGGGCTTGAAAGGCCTTCATCAAAATTCTCTCCTTTTGAAATGATGGTTTGAATTTTAGAAAGGCCCATTCTGTTTTTCTCTAGTTTTGTGATCTTAAATGAGGAAGTGGAGTGAATCTGTGGTTTTTTGCCATGTACCTGAAGTGTGGGGAAAGGTAAAAAGTATACATATCTGGTCATGAAAATGCTTGCCTTCTAAGGACTGAGACAGTGTCTGATTTGTCTTTGTTCTGCCCATAATGTCTTGATTGTAACCTTACCTGTTGAAGATAATTCAGTAAATATTGCTCACATGGATTGGATTCTACTGGAGGGAACAGCATTTGGTTTCACCACCTGGAGGAGTGTCTTCTTACAGTTTTTCTTCTCCATTTACATTTGGGGTGATTTGCCTGGAAGTAGGACTTGGTATTTCATTCCCAGGTTCACAGACCTTAGCAGACACCATCTAAGAAGTGGGACTGCTTTTTTTGTTGTCAGGACTGAACTTCCCATCGATGGTTCTAGGTTGTGGAGCCTTCTCAGGATGTGATAGTTACAATTCTAGATTGTGATATTTTAAAGGAGAAGAACATTGTGCATCTCTCTTTGGGGTA